AAAATCTTGTATGTACCACGGGTATTGTTTCTAATGAGAAAGCTGCGATAAAAAGCCCGAAGGCCTTTATAACGCACTTAGCATAAATAACTATTGTAATAGTGTCAAAAAGAGTTTTAGCCTATATCTGACACCCTAGAAGTGGAGATAAAAGGAACATTTAAAATGGCAATAGTTTGCAAGTCGGAAGAAATCAATTTAAGTTACATTAAGTTTTAAATGCATTATACATGTTCGTACACAACCAACAACTGTCTGTACTCGTCACGTTTTATTTCTCTCATAACAGTACTTCTCCCAAACACTTCACAGTTTTTAACATTGCTGTTTCTATTAAAAATAAATGACACATGGAAATATTATCTTTCAAACTACACCAGGGGCGGATCCAGAGACAAATTTTGGAAGAGGAAATTCAAAATGTTTCGCTCGAAAGTGTCATTGTAGACTTTCTAAAATGTCTCGGGCTACACTCAACTCCCTGTGCTGCGATAATTTTATTCGTTTTAGTGATTATCCGAAAATATTTTGTTAGAAAGTTTCGTGGCAAGTTAAAATAGCTGATGAAAAATGTTAGGAAGGGGTGGATTTCCCTCATGTCCCACCCTGTGGATACGCGCCTGAACCACACAATAAGCAAATGACAAATAATTCAACAGACAGCACCGACTGATATTCCCCAATGCGAAGACACAAATAATCTGGGATTTAATTAGCACGATACACTACAAAAGAAACGAATTACGTCGACAGCAGTCCTCGTCGTTGCTGCGAGATACAGACGTAAGTATTTCTACAAAAACTTCGGCCTAGTGTTAGCATTGAGGACACGTAACTACTATCACTTGCAGTACTAACATCATTTGAAAAGTGTGTAATAGTATTACAACACTTACTAATACTATTAATACAATGTAAATATGTTACTTTTGTATAAAATTTTGCGTAAAGATACGCGTGATTGGTATTTTCAGTCTGACGTGTGTTATTGGTCCATGATAATGATGCTAATAATATTAATAATAATAATTAGAAATAATAAGACAAAGAAAATTAATAAACTAATCTCCGCCATCGTCATCAAAGTGTTACAGTCAATGCAATATTGAAGCAACTCTCTTGAGCATTGGCGTTTTAGTAGAAAAACAATATTTCACTCACATCAAAATAGTTCGACTTAACACTATCCGGTAATGACATAACACATCGCATTGCATGTAATTATTTTTAATTTTTTTTAATGAAATTCTCCTTAATAAGGAAAGCAGAAAGTTTATAAATACATTAACTTTCAAATGCTAAAATTACACTCAGCATTTTAGAAATATTTATCGGACTTACTCGAGCCCTTGTTTGCCAACTAATGGACAGGGAAAACAATCGATTTTAAGAAACGCATCTATTCATTACATTACTAAAAATCGTAAATGTAGCTCCACTATGCGCAAGGCTTATTGAACTCTAGTTTTGCTTGTAGTGGTAGGAGTAGAGGTAAGGGCGAGTAACTATTTTGTTAGCAATGCAGAAAATAAAATCTGCAGTTCGTTTAATGTTGCAAATAAGTTTTCTATAAGTAGGTAACAAAAATGTCTAGTTTTTTAAATATCGCTAATCTCGCGCTTTTTTAAATTTTATATATTTATAACTTTTACTCATCGTTTTACTATTTATAGTTGAAATGATGAGAAGGGATTCTGGAACTCAAGAAAACGTGCGAAGATTATTTTCTCCCCTATACGGCACATAGTTTTTATTGTTTTTGACTAAATAAATCTAAATCTAAACGGGTGAGAAACATTTGTCGGAGAAAATGCGACTTTTATTTAGAATGTTACGAAATTTGTGAACTACATTCTGAAGAAAGAATAATTTAATAATTGATTGTCGATGCGGGAGGCCAAAATAATTTTCAAAGAAAGAAAAAAAGGGATAAGAGAGAAACTGAGAATGAAAAAGCAAAAACACAAAATGAGAATGTTCCTCCAAATACATAAACAAGATCACTGTATCGATTGAATGAATTCTACAAAGAGGAATTCTTTCTTCCTACAAAGAGGAAATATAATTTCACACCCGTACACAGACTTAAACATTTAAAGTGCATATGTGAATCCATACACACACTCATACTGCATATAAACATACGTGCACACACACGCAAACGACTTCCGGGAAGATCTTTCTCTCCATTCAGAAAACGTTTGTGGTGGTGAAAGCAACAAAATTCTTACAGAACTGTAAATTTTCAATTCACTCTTAAGAGAATAAAAAATAAAAAAATAAAAAACACATAATTTTGAACCACACAAACGTGAATCTAACACGCACAAAATTAACAACTAGCAGGAGAATTAAACAACAGGTAATATGTCCATTTGCAAAGCATTTCTCTTTTCCCTTCAAATTTTAACACGAATTCTGTAGGTTCTGGTATCCTGATATTGGTGGTAGTTTACAGATATGATTACTTAAATTTGGTTTCCTTGTATTAATGGAGAATCCTGTCACGCCAACCAAGAGATTAATTCCTGGGAAAAGTCATGCCAGGAAAGATTTGGAACTTGCTTAAAAATTAGCAATGTTCTTTTTCATAAATATCAAGTACATTTCCATCTCGAGTTTTCCAAATGTAGCCTTCTAAAAATCAAATTTACCAAATCTGTACAAACCTGCAGTACATGTATTTTTCAATAGGAGGCTGGATTAATACATTTGGAACAAACCTTAAGCAAACAGGGATGGCTAAAAAAAGTCTTGTTTTTTAACCTGACCCAAAGGGTATTCTGGGGTTTAATTGAGATTTTTTTTTAGTGAACACACAATATTGATTTTTCTTAATTGAACCATCAAACTGAAATAAATTAAGTATTGTCAAGTACAAGCATAATGAAGTATCCAAGAATCCAATCAATGAAATTTGTTTTAATTGTCAGTTTACTTTATTTTATACATGTGTTGTTTTTTAACTTTTTGTACGATACTTTAGAAGTTTTGTTATTTTATTTAAAGAATTTAAAAAATGATTAAAATATTGTAATAGAATTACTGTGGATTTTTCAAGGTGGTTGTTTTGTATGCGTGTGTGTGTGTGTGTGTGTGTGTACACGCTTCTTTTGGGCTGGGGAAAATTTATCCAACCCTAGTTCTAAATACAATAATACAGCTGAGATACACTGAACACATTGAACATATGGAATCAAAAGGACTATGAAAATAAACTATAACCTTTGCAATTCAAAAACAATTTTAAAATAGAGTAACTATTTATTAACTATCCTACCATATATCTTGGTTAAAAAAATATATGAGGGTCCTTAACCAGACAGGAAACTAAATACACTGAGTAGAATTTTTATGGATTACTCCACTAATTTAAATTCAAAGAGAAGTTATACTTTTATGTTCAGGAATGTAGTCTCAAATTTTTAGGAAGAAAGTTGCACAGAGCCTTTAGAACAGATTAAATCAGAACTTGTGATAGAAAATCCCTGCATTCTTAGATGTATAGTATGTGAAGATTGCATTTTAACCAATTTAATAAAAATGTCACCTATATGAATGATAAATTGTTTCTGACAATATTTTTAAAAAAAGTACTTTTTGAAACAAATTTAATTAATGATATTTCAATTCTTCATGGTGTGATCTTGAAAATCACGTATTTGGTCCTAGGATTGTAGAAAAGTATTAGAAGATAAAAGATAAAAATATTAGTTACATTTCACTGAATTTTGTTAGTTCGTAAAGCCAATAAAATAAAAAACCAACAAACAAAAAAATAGTGTTGAGGAGTATTCAAAATGTTTTTTCGCTATTGACTGTTTAAATTGACAATATTTCAACAAAATGTAATTGTGTAGTTTTTAACTTCTAATAATCATATACAATTCTAGACCTAGATTTTTTTTATTTATTTATTTTTTTTTCAGACCAAAGGTTCCAAAAATGATTTAAAGTTTTCAGACCACAATGAAAGAATTTTCAGATTTCTAAGCAACCTAAAGCCATGACTAGCAAATTCACACAAGCCACAATTTCCTGAATTTTCCGCTACGCAAAATTGTAACTAAGGCAAGTGAAAATGTTTATATGGTAATAAATCCAATATTTTGGCTTAGCTTGCATTGCAGGAGAGTGTCCTGCAAATTTCAGTATTGTTTGTTTCTTCTGAAAGAAATATCTCCACAAATAGGTAAGTCAGTTTCCCGCTTCAAAAATGCCTCCAGTCATCTACAGCGTCATGAAACAGGTGGCAACCGAGAATTATGTAACGCTAACCAATGGAGATGCTGCCTTTTAAATAGCATTAGATCTTTTATTGTGCTAATTAAATGGAAGGAAAAATAATGCGCACATGTGCGTTTAACATGCAAAATTAAAAAAATAATCCAATAACAAGAAACGAAACAAGTGAGAAACTACTACTTCAAAAGAACGACCAGGGAAAATAAGTTCGTACCACTCGAACGTAGTCTTAGCCCTCATTCTTCAGGATTTCCAAGCAACAAGTGGTAATTTTACCCCATTTCGGTGTGAACTAAAATATTTTCTGAATAGTTTGTGTTAAATCTAGGGTCATTGTCAGATATTATATACACCTTAATGTTAGTAAAATTACTCAAATTAAAATATATTAAATGGGAAAAAAGAGTTGTCATGACGGTTTCAAGCGAAATAAAAATGCATTACATTATTAGCCTGCAAGTCGCACATTTTGACAACTATGCTAAAAATGACAACCTACACATATTCATTATCTGTGAAACCTCAAGTCAAAGAAAAATATATTATCTCCCCTTCACGTTTATTCAATTACATATTCGAAGTCTCTACAATCACTGACACGTGAGGTTCGCCGGTGGGAATAAAATTAGACACTGTTGGGTAATTAAAATAAACACAAAATTTCTCTCACAATTTAAACGGGAAAAGTAGAAAAACAAAAATCTTCCAAGCCATAATATAGAGATATCACACAAAAAGTGTTGCTCAACACTCACCTTCGTTAACGAACGGTAGTTCACCTACGATAGGATGGCGCCAGAATATTCCGTAACATAAGCACACTTCTTTCACAATTAGTTTTCTATTTATAGTAGTAATGCATTCACACGAAGGAACAGAACACACTTTGCACAGGTACACGATTTTTTTCTGAAAAGTCTTCAATTAACCTTCACAAACCTCTTGACAGAAGTACATGACAACGACCCAGAACGGAACCAACGCTCGCGAGACACTGTTGGAGCATCAGTGATGGGTGTGGCTAACGTCTGAGAACGACCGACCTCTGGTGGTCGTAGCTGAAGAATTAGAAAATGACTATCGCCAGGTGGTCAAGGAGTTCTCATGCCTTGATCTATCGATCAAATTCAAAACAATAATAAAAATTATAGTTCAGTGAATATAATATTATTGTAGCAACAATAAATTATCGGTGCAACTCTGATGTCAAATCGAGTATTGAACTATGTGACATTCCTAAGTTGCAAGCCTGAGGCGCCTGTTGACCAATACAAGTGCTCGACACAACAACAGCTATTGCAAGCAAATGCGATTCTTGGCATTTCCGTCTAGAAATATTTGTGGTGTATTGTAGTGTTGTAAATGTATGTCAAATGTTACTCGTAATTAAGCTTCAATGTTAGGTATCTGTTTGATGTTTTAACTTTCTTTGTGCTATAGAATATCATTAACATTGTTTTGATTGATTGTCATTGGATTAATAATGGAAGGTGACGTTGATGGCACCGGGTCTGATGCAGCTGACACAGTTACATATGATAACATGAGTGATGAGGATGCGGTAGATGATGCTATGAATGAGGGAAATTCAAGCGATGAAGACCGCAATGTCCAACACCATACGTTTGATAGGGCATTGCCTGTGAAACACACATACTTAGGAATGAATTTGGAAGAATTGAGGGGAAGAACACTCTTGGATGATGATTCATATCAAACTATACCATTATTGCCAGAACCTGGAGTAGTTTTAGTTCCTGGCCAAACTTTGCCACTTACTGTCTTCTATCCTCCCACGATTAGTATGCTTCGGAGAACTATCACCACTGATCATACATTTGGAGTTGTTTGTGTGAGATATGCTACATCTCACCCTCCTATTCTTGCTGACATTGGAACCACTGCTGAAATCTATGCTTTTCAGGATGAAGAAGAAACTGCTGGATTCAAAATAAAAGCTATAGGCCGTCAGAGATTCAAGATTGTTGAAACACAGAGGCAGATTGATGGGAATGTATCAGCAAAAGTCAGAATTTTACCAGAAATTATTTTAGGAGATCCCCTGGCAGGAGCTAGCTTTTCATCTTGTGACAAATACAGGAAATCTGCAAAAAAATTGAAAAATTTAGAAAATAGGGAAGCCGTAGTCACTCGATGGCCATCTTGGGTATATTCTCAATTTCAGACACAAAAATTAATGAAGAAACTCATTCATCTCCTTCGTCACATGAAAATAGGAAACACTAATGCATCTTTTCCAACTGATCCAGTTGAACTATCATTTTGGGTTGCACAAAGCGTACCTCTCAGAGATGAACAAAAATTGGACTTACTAAGAATAGATTGTGCAGTTCAAAGACTTAGATGGGAACTTAGTGTACTGGAAAGATGTCGCATTTTGTGTTGTCAGAAATGCTCTTCAAAAATTGCTTATCAACGAGATATATTTTCCATGTCCGTAGAAGGTCCCCAAGGCACATATGTTAACTCTGGAGGTTATGTGCATGAAACCGTGACAGTGTACAAAGCAAAGGGTTTAAGATGTGTAAGTGATGAACCTTCTACAGAATATTCTTGGTTTCCAGGATATGCTTGGACAATCACAGAATGTCGTCATTGTCAGACTCACATGGGGTGGTTGTTTACTTCAACCCAACCTGAATTGCGACCAGCAAAATTCTGGGGATTGTGTCGTCGTTCATTGGCACCAAAATTGGAAACTGGAGAAAATGCTGAATTCAAACCTGTAATGTAGAAGCTTTCCTCTTTGGGGATGCCAGGTGGTCAATATTGCAGCAGCATTACTTTTAAAAAAATTTGAGAAGAGAACATTTCGTATGGAAATTATGAGTTTTGGCCAACAAATGTTGGATGTCCTCAGTGATGTCACATTTACCTGAATGCAATTTGTATTTTGAGAAGAGGTTCAGAGTATTTTTTTTAGGAATGATACTTAGTATTTGTATTTGGATTCTGGACTGGTAAAAGAACTGTAAAATTTTGAAAACTAAAGAGCTTGATTCCTGTAAATTGAAATGGAAGTTCATGCAAGAGATATATTTTTGTAGTGACTCTCACTTTGGCATCCCAGGCTCTTGTACATTAGTAAATGTTTGCCCTATATGCACATATTACCATTTATGGTTAAATGCAATGTTTATTATAACACTTAACTGCTATCAATGTAGAAGGTAAACCTTGTCATCACTAAGTCTATTTTTAATATGTATGTTTAAAAAGATTTTGTCGATTTTGAAACCAATATGAAACTGAAGATTGCTGAAGACTGTTTAAAATATTTACTTGGAGATGATGTACCTCCAATATTAAATCCCCTAGTACTACATGTGTTGTACTTGTGTATCTGTATTGCATATTGCAAACGTAACTTACAGAAGTCACAGAGTAGAGACTTGTCATGTAAGTTTTTCTCTTTTTACTCGTATTGAAGATAAATTGTAGATACTAAAAGAGATAATGCTGATGTAGTGCAACATTTTATATTTTGTTACTGATGAAAAATATGCCTTTAATGTAAATAATTACTTCTTTAATGTCTATTGACTGACTGATATATTTTCTGTTATATTCATATAGTTTGTGATATCCAGTGGGTAAGAATAATATTTCTTGCAGATTATGGGGACTGTTGGCATGCAATTAGCCAGTTATAATAAAATGCTTCTGTGGTTTCAAAGAAAGTAAAATTTCTAATTGACTAGAAATTACACTCTTGATTTAATGTGCAAGCCTTGTCCTATTTTCAAAAGACTTTATTTGAGACAATAAAGTACCATAATATGGTTAGTAGGAATCATTTTGTGACTTGTTTTTAGAATTAAGAATGAGTATGTTCACAAAACATTATTGTAAATATAAACCTAATAATGCACTCGTGTATTCTTTTCCTTGATTCTTCTTCCTTCTAATTCAGTTAATAAACTGATGTACAAATGTTTTGTACTTATTTCAAATTGTACATCTTAACATCAATTGAAAACAAATGGTGACAGGGAAAGCAAATAACATGAGCACGTGTTAAGCATTAGCTTTAATGCTTTTGGGGTCCTTTGTTTATCAAGTTAGAATACTGTTGTCAGGACAAACCATGCTTTGATTTAGAGAGAGTAATGATAAAAACATGACATATATATTTTTAATTATTTTACCCCATTGTGTAGAAGTATTGTAATTGTTCAAAAAATTATGTAGAAATTTTGAGATGTCATGGTGATAAAAATAAAAAGGGTTTTATAGTAATCATTTAATGTCACTTTGGTATTTTTTAATTCTTGTAAGAAGAAAATAGTCATATAACTACTTACATTTTAATTCTTCACCTTGGAAATAAATAAATAACTTGAGTCTAAAATGTCATTAATAGTAATTTCATTATTTGTAAGTGTCTCACTTAAACACATTCTGTAGTGTCAAACCCTAATTTGATTTTTAAACATTAAATATTGCAACTTTTCATTTTTTTTAATAATTTTATGTTTGTATGGAAAATCAAAAGTGTCCATCACTATTTAACTTTGGCATTATGTGGCTTTCTACAAACATAATAACTGTCATTAAATGAAATGATATGTGTTACTGTTCTCTGTTCCATTTTTTAAGTTCTATGCTTCAGTTTTGAAAATTATTCATTGACCTTTGGCATAGACCTGTGCTGCCTAAAAGGAGAGGGGTCCCAAGATATTCCTGGTCCCTGTGAGACCCCTTTGTCCAATAAACTTGTTTACATACAGAATGTTTTACTAGGAAATAAATAAAGTATAATGCGAAGAAAAAGCCATTATAATTTGAATAGTACAATTAATAAATGCTCTTGATTTTGTGTTGAACTATTTGCAGGAAAGACAAATGGTTTGGAGAGCCTCTTGGCTAAATTGTGTATCAGTTCCTCAAATTGTCAGCATAAAAACAGAAATTAGGAAATTATCTTATTTTCGGATATGTAATGCTTCATAATGTAAAGCTATGTAAGTCTATTTTGAAATTTTCAGAGACCACAGTCCCTCTCAGGTCCCTCTAGCACTACGCCAATAAAACCCTGTGCATGCGTATGGCCTTGATGGAATAATGATTTAAGCATACATCATGGATCTGAGTTGAATATTCTATTAAAATGTTCACTTTCCTGAGAAGATGAAGACACTGAGGATGATTTTGGCACATATGAAATTTTAAAAAATATTAAAATCTGTAAATCTTCATATATGAACTATGCTGTATCTACACTAATCTCAGAAAAGTTATTACACTCCAAAGGTGCATCATCCAAAGTCTGTAACAACCTAATACATTAATAGATGTTTTTAATTATTACTGAATTAGATATATTACTAAGTATTAGGCCAAAAAGACCATACTAGTTACAGTATAAAATATAATTTCTTAATAACAATGACTTTTTAAATCTTTCATAAAAAAGTAGTTAAACATTTCCCCAGAAGTTTCTTTTTAATACTTTAATCAAATAATTATATCAATTACATAAAATAAAGAACCATCATAAAGGGCTTTTTAGTTGTAGGTGTTAATTACCATCACAAATTTTAAAAAAAAATGAATCTGAAAGTCTGGGCACATGGTATGTCAACAAGGTAAACCCAATGCCAGGCAACTATATATATTGAAGTGATTTAGTTTTCCAGGAGGAGGGAGTGAAATCTTGGAAACATTAAAGAACATTTATTTATTTATTTGCATCAAAAACAGTTAAAAACAATGTGTGACGTGCTATGGGGAGCAGTTAATTTGAAGTTACATTTATGTACAGAAGCAAAACAAGGGGCCATCTCAGCATTTGCTCGAGGATCAGG